TAGCCTTGTTTGGCAAACAGTCTAGGAGAAAGATAACTGTAAATCCCAAACATGTTGGGGCATAAGAGTAGGACTGGCATCTTCACCCCATAAGTTACTATAAAAATCAAAACAGAAAAACTAGCATTATGAGGTTGGTTTTTTTTTTTTGTTTTGTTTATTTTTTTTTTTGTTAATAATTTAAACATGAAGAAAGATGAAGAGAGAAGGCTTAGAAAATTTGACACACACAGGATATATTGAAGACACAAGTGACAACATAAGGCAGTGGGCCATCTACCTGACAATTATCTGGCAGGGAGTGGTAAAGATAGTAAAAAGACAAACTTTACTCAGAGCTGCAAAAGGTAGGAAGATGTGGAGAGCCACTATCACCTATTTCCAGAAAGGACATGGTACCCGGAAGTAATAATAATTAAGATAATAGGAACAATGAGGATACTTTTAGTGAGAACCAGAAAGCCACACTTGAAATTTCTGGGGCACTTAATGAGGAAAGAGGGCTGGGAGAATTTAACACTCACAGTGAAGAGGGAAGAAAAAGAAACTGTGTAACCTACCTAACGAGTTTGTGTAAATGGATGACAGAACAGGGAGTTGGAGAGGTAGTAAATAGGCAAATGTTGCTAAGAGCTACAAAGGATGGGAAGTAGTGGAGAGCCATGATCACCCATACTCTGAATGTGTACTGCATTTAAAGGAAGATGATTTTGTGGGTAGAGTAATGGTTATTGATGCAAATGTTGAATCAAAGAGACTTCAAATTTTGACCAAGTCTGTTACATTTATCACTCTAATGCCCTTAGGAAAGGCATGACACTACCAAATTAGTATTAAATAGCAGGGCTTTTGAGCTTTGTTTGGTAGCAAGTATAATAGAAGGAAAATTAAAACTGTGGTGAAAGCAGTCAAAAACTACTCAACTGTCTTTCTCTAGAAATCATAGCAATTAACAGATATTGAATAAAAAGGAAGCTGTGCAGGGCCATGACTAACCATGTCCTGAAGAGATATGGCATTATTAAACAATTTAAAATTGATATTTTTGAAGTGTGCAAAAAAAAAAGAAAGGATATTGCCGATTAAAAACGTCTGCTGGGAGGTTGACACAAAGTGCAGTCCCAGGAAAATGGAATGAACGAAAAAGCAACACAGGAAGAGGATGGACTAATTTCATTTTTTTTTTTTTGATGTGGGTGTTTATGACTTGTGATGCTGCCACAATTTTTAAAAATAAACTATGAACCCCATTTAAGCGTACACATGATCCAGTTTTGGTACAGTACACTTGACTCTATTTTAAATTAAATGACACTTTGTTTAAAAAGAAATAAAATGACAGGTTAGATGCTACACTTAGCTTTGCATAGTTTTCTACCCCATGACTATAATTACTTCTGCTAAAAACCATGAGAGAGCATCGTGGAGGAGGAGGTTCTTAATTTCCCTACAACTCCACCATCAACTATAAGTTTCCTTAATTCACTTATTATTCTGACTAGTATCTTCATTGTTGTTGTTATCAAAACACACTGGTTGCTTTTATGTGATCAGGAGTTACCATTATTTATAATCAGCTGTTGTGTGCTCCAGCCTTATTTGGGGCATCCGTTGGCCCAGATAACTCTCAAGGAATTTCAAACTGAGCCCTTTATTTAATCTACAGGGATAGATTGTTCTCATTCTGCTGTCCATTCGCATACATAGCCAAGGTGGGTCCTGTCTGACAAAAGATTTATCATAAAGATTTCAGGCAATGCCTTTTTTTTTAAGGCCTGATGCACTTCTTGATGCCCAAATTAGACACTCACTGTAGTCCAAGTAAACTGAGTATTTTTAGTGACACCATCTATAGGAAGGTTGGCATTCAAGGCTTAAAAACCCACACTAACCTTTTATATACATATATATGTATATCTCACACAATATATATATATATATATATATATATATATATATATATATATATATATATATATATATATATATATATATATATATATATATATATATATAATGAATAAAAATGACAATAGGAAAACTGGTAATTGTTGGCGCGTTTAGATTCAATGTGGACTTTATCAAAACAAAATACGTTTCATATTTTGCTTTGATAAAGTCCACATTGAACTAAACGCGTCAGCAATTACCAGTTTTCCTATTGTCATTTTTATTCATAAATATTGTCTTCTCTACTGGTTAAATCAGAGAAATTTTCATATATATATATATATATATATATATATATATTTATATATTGTATATATATATATATATATATATATATATATATATATATATATATATATATATGTATATATATATATATATAATTAAAGGGTCTTAAAAGGTTCAAATCAATCAAACACCCCTTGCTAGGGAAACGCTGTTACATAAGCTGGAATGATCACTCAAAATACAAGTATATGAGAATTCAAAAAACTTGACAATGGACTTAGGTTATAATAATTATTTAATGCTTTAATGTTAGAGTTAGACTAAAATAGAATTTATTCTAACTAATAAATATTAAATTATACAATAAAATTTGAAATTAAAAATTACCCATTTTAAAATTTAAATTTAATCTATATTAAGTTTAAAATTATAAAATTACTGAGGAAAAAAGAAAAATACATATGCTATTCTTTCAATAAATAATTTATATATATATATATATATATATATATATATATATATATATACAGATCCCATACTGTTAGAATCTAAATAGTCACTTACAATATAGTACCATGTTAAACTAGTACACAACTTAGTATTTGGAACAACTAAGGTTTTTTTTTTTTTAACTTTGTAGCAGCAAAAGGCATTTAACTTATTTTTGTAATTTTTTTATTAGTAGCGATCAGTTTAATAATCAATTTTTTATACTAATTTTCACTCTATAAGACTCAAGAGTCACTCCAAGCAGAGTATTACTGTGTTGTATGTCATATGAGTGTAAAAAAATTGATTGATTTGTTTTTACTGTTTATCAACCTCATGCAGGTTATTTAAAGCCAGAAAATATTTTTCGATTATAAGAAGTTTTTCGAGATAATAATGATTTACTCATACAATATAATTTTATATATATATATATATATATATATATATATATATATATATATATATATATATATATGTGTGTGTGAATATATAGAAAATAGGAAGGAACTGGTTAGGTAAATAATCCAAAGTCCCTTAGTATTTTAGTTATTATTTTTTAAAATAGTGCTCGATACAAAAGTAGAGCAGAAATATAATTATTTATTTAAAATATGATTCCAAATCGCGACATAAGAAGTCCATGTTTCAAAACAAAGATGGAACAAAACTTCAATTAATTATTTAATTAAATTGAGTTAAAATAAGCTTTGTTCCATCTTGAAGTTTTTCCTTGAAGATGGAAACATGGGACTTTATGTCGCACATTGGAATCATATTTTTAAATAAATATATATATATATATATATATATATATATATATATCCCAAACTGTTAGAATCTAAATAGTCACTTACAATATTAATCTATATATATCCCATATTGTTAGAATCTAAATAGTCACTTGCAATTTTAAACTAGTACACAACTTAGTATTTGGAACAACTAAGGTTTTTTTTTTTTAACTTTGTAGCAGCAAAAGGCAGGGTCAGAGATGATGCAATGGCTGTTATTCCCCCATGCACTAGTGACATGACAAATGAACTTTACTGATCTTGTATTTCCTCTCTCTTTTCCTGCGATTTTGGCTTTGGACTTGATGAACAAACTGACTGCATATTGTCATTTGACATTCTATCCGAGAGGGAATTAGCGTCTGTAGGATAGAAAATATCGTAAAGGTTGGTGGATGTCATTTTGGATTTGAAAATTTGGTTCCAGCCTGGATTTCCTGCTTCGTTCCATTTATCTGTGGGAATGATGACTGACAAAAACAAAAAATGGTAGAGAGTAAATATTAATCTTTTTCTAATTATTTCACCCCAAGCAAGGCAATAAAGCCACTAAAATGCAAGGGGTTGCTGAGAGTGAAAGAAACTAAGTAAAAGAGAAACATTATTAAGGGGAGAGGACAATAAACGAACAGGATTCAAAAAGTCAGAAGGCTCCTCGTTAGGCTTTTTTAAACTATTACCTTTGGAGCTTCAGCATACTAATCCCAATGTCCCTTAAAAAAGGTCAAAAGAAAAAAATTCTTTGCGAGGACTGCCATCAGTTCCTTAATTTTTGACAATGATTCTAGATTTGAAAATCTGGACTGAAGTGGGTAGCTGACACACGTGGCCGACACAATCTTTAGCAAAAATCTCTGTATTAAACATGAAGTAACACTGCTGACTGTTTAACTTCATAGGAGAGTGTCATCTCTAGTTGCCAATTTATATCAAGGCTGCACAAGCAGTTCTTGAGATCTGTAAGATGGTTGGATAATTTCCATATAGATCCTGGATACATTTTAAATGAACTCATTTAACCACCTGAAGAAGGCCGAAACGTACAATGACCGAAATGTGATAAATATGGCAACAAAGATGAGGACAATAGTCCGAATAATGTAAATAGTGAACTCATTTAAATTTAACTTATTTTTGTAATTTTTTTTTATTAGTAGCGATCAGTTTAATAATCAATTTTTTATACTAATTTTCACTCTATAAGACTCAAGAGTCACTTCAAGTAGAGTATTATTGTGTTGTATGTCATATGAGTGTAAAAAAATTGATTGATTTGTTTTTACTGTTTATCAACCTCATGCAGGTTATTTTAAGCCAGAAAATATTTTTCGATTATAAGAAGTTTTTTGAGATAATAATGATTTACTCATACAAGTCCTACTAATTAACCCATAGCTGGGGGGGAAGAAGAGATGGATTTATATCTTTCCCAAATATTTTTGTGTATAAGTGAATATAACAAACCCAACTGGAATTGGAACTTGGCTCTCAGATTTTCAATTGCCAGCTTTTATCCATTACACCACCTGCACATCCAAGATTACAGCACTAGGTATTCCCTAGTGTCTCCCATCTAGGTACTGACCAGGGCCGATATTGCTTAACTTTGGTGATCGTACGGGAACTGGTGTTTCCATGTCATGTGACTGTAAGCCCATTATACCATGTGCACGTCTAAGTTTACAGCACCTTGTATTCCCAAACAGTCACCCATCTAGGTACTGACCAGACTTGATGTTGCTTAACTTTGGTGAGCATACTAGAACCTGTTTTTCAAGAAAAGGCAAGGAATTCAGTTCATCTAGTTATGTAGGAAAGATAATGGGTAACCCGTGACTTGAAGTGGTCAAGATTGTAGTGGTCGGGAAAGCATCATATCAGGAGTCTGTTCCACAAAGCAGCAGATATTATTAGCGTAGTTATTATTACGAACCAAATCTCTGTCTTACAAAGATTTCTCTTAATAATAAGTTAAAAATAATTCAGCATATTGTTATTTTATTTATGGTAACTGGATTTTTGGCGATTACCTTACTTGGTTTTCCATCACTTGATACTGAGCATCTGAAAAATGATTCTTTTATCACGGTTGCTTCTCGACCTTTTGGCTGAGATCAAGGTGTAGAATCTGCTCATATCAACTTAATCTGATTCTCTCTCTTTTCACTTCTATTATCCCTTATTTCTTTCTTTCATTTTCTCTCTGACACCAAGTAGTGTTTTTTCCCCTAATCCCACACAATCAGAACACGGATTAATATAATACTAATCCCACACAATCAGAACACGGATTAATATAATACTCTATTAATGAGTGACTTTAAGGGACTGGTATTGTTGAGCCCTTTTTGCTTGAAGTGATAGGCTCCTTTACCGTCGCCCTATTGTTCATCATGATATTGAACACTGTTTTGCCACACTGGTGAACCATTTCTGGTCTTCTTTTTTCTTTTATTAATTTTATATTTACAGCTATTTTGATCTTGGCAAGAGAGGTTACTCCCCCCCCTCTCCCCAGTGAATTTCGTTGGTGTGTGCATGATATGTAGGCACTGGCTGGATTCTTACTATCTTCGACTTACCTGGAAGTATAAGAGTTCCTATTTTCACTAAAATTACACAAAAATATCTTGAAATACCAAAGAGTAAATTTATTCAATAAAATCGCCATTGGTTTCAGACAACTTTGGAATTTTCTGCAACTCTTCTGAACAGCCTCCTTGTTGGTGAATACTGCAATAATCCTTGCCTTCAGTTCATCTTTGGTGTTACAAAGAGTTTTTGTTGGTCTCTTGCTCAACAGCACCCCCACACATAATAATAAAGGGGGTTGCAATCTGGGGAGTTAGGTGGCCTGATGTAAGGGGTGATATTGTCACAGAAATTGTCTGACAGCCATGACTGGGTTCGCCTGCTTGTGTGACATGGTGCAGAGTCCTATTGCCAGACATAGTATCTTTCAGCAGCTACCCTCTTCATGCAAGAGCAGCACTCCCTCTTCAAGGCACTTGATGTAGACCTCTGCATTGAGCCTGAGGCCCTATTAGAAGATGAATGGAGACATGACGTCACCATCACTAGCGATCACTCCAAACACCTTCATAATCACCATTAGACTCATCCAACTCTTTTCGAATCCTTTGCACTGTTATCAGGTTGACACCCGAATACTCTGACATGTTTGTATTGAAGTTTCTGGCATGAATGCCAGTCAATACAGCATGTCATTTCCAAAGTTCTGGTAGTGTGAATTACATTATGGTGCTTTTTTTCTCACAGATGGTACCCAACTGACCCTACTCTACTGTGCAGTCAACAAAATCAAAAACAAACATGAAATGTATGAAATTAAAAATATAAAATAGTGATAATTTACTGATATATATATATTGATATAATGTGTTATGGAGTGATTTCACAGTGGAGGCTTGTATTTGTACTAAATCGGTCCTAAAATAGGTTCGACGTACAAAATGTTAGGAACTTGATATAATAGGTATAACACAGAGTAATCTAGTTGTGGTCACTGATACTTTAGTATCTGACTAACAGTCGTCCGGCCTCGACTGACTGACCGAGCGACTGACTCGTTACTCTTACTACTCCTACTTATTATAGGTGGGAGAGTCTATTAACTATAGAATAGGTGTGTTCCACTATAACATAATGGAATATACATACACCTGTGTTCCCCATCACTGGAATATGATTGGCTGGTGTCCGTCATAAATACAGACGAACGTGTAAATACGACAGAGTTTAAGTCTATGATGATGCTCATTGGACTACACCATTGGCTATACTATTGGTTTACACCTATTACCTGCAACTACGATGAGTACCGGTCGATTACTGCTACTGTGTACTACTTGGTTACAGTAGCCAAACCCACTTAGCTATTTCGATCAAATATATCCCTTTCCAGGATATATCATATATATATATATAGGTTGCAATTATATATATATATATATATATATATATATATATATATATATGTATAGGTTGCATATATATATATAGGTTGCACATCTATATATATTCAGAGTTGTCCTTCTCATAGACCAGTTACCATCTAAGGCTATAGAACCCAGTCTGTCCTGCTATTTATACATAGCTGTGGGGGTTGTTTGGGGACCTTGTAGCACTTAGTGCACGAGGTCTCTGTATTCGTCCCTTCAAAAAGTGTGGATGGTACTGCATGAAACCTTCACCACTATAATCAATTCTCATGTGCTGTTGTCGGGCTGTCGGTTTCCTAGGAACTGATCTGCTTGACCCTCATGTCGAATTCGACAGGAGAGCCGTATATATATATATATATATATATATATATATATATATATTGCATAATTTTTTGAGATAGATAGACTTATATATATATATATATAGGTTGCATATATATATATATTGCATAATTTTTTGAGATAGATAGACTTATATATATATATATAGGTTGCATATATATATATATTGCATAATTTTTTGAGATAGATAGACTTTGATAATGGATACAAAGACAGATACGAAGAAATTAATTGATATAGCCTTGAATATAGTGCACACTAAAAGTATATTTTTATCATATATATATATATATATATATATATATATATATATATAGATAGATATTATACCAAAAACATGTAAAAATCACTACACAATTTTTTATATTTTCTCATCATATCCAGATAAATATATATATGTATTTCAGGATTGATTGATTCATTTGTTTTTTTACGGTTTATCAACCCTTTTTGGGTTATTTAAAGTCGAAATATTTTTGGGATTGTAAGACATTGCCTGTGTTCCCAAATGATCCCCTATCTAAGTCATGACCAAGCTTGATGATGCTTAACTTTGGTGATGAAAAACCTGTGTGATTTGATTGTTGGCCTTGGAATGGATGCTGGGATAAATGTGTGAGGCTCCAAGACAAATACTTTGAATAGAAATAAAGTGCCATTGCCCTAGGTAGGATACTTTTCTGTTAATATTAAATGCCTTGATATTTTTGTAGAAAGGGTTTGTGTATAAGAAAGAAAGAAAGAAAGAAAGGAAAGAAAGAAAGAAAGAAAGAAAGAAAGAAAGGAAAAAAGTTAGGAAAGAAAAAAAGAAAATTAGAAGGAAAAAGAAAAGACTAATAAATATGAAAAAAGTGAATAAGGAAGAAAAAAAGGAAATAAAAAAAAGTAGATGAAAGGTGTAAGAAAGAAAAGAAAGAAAATTTAGAAAAAGAAAGAGGTAAAAAAAAAGGTGTAAGAAAGAAAAGAAGAAAGAAAATTTGAGCAAAAAAGAAAGAGGAAAAGAAGTAAGAAAGAAAAGAGGAAAAAAATTTAGAAGGAAAAAGAAAGAGATAAAAAATTGAGCAAGAAAGAAAAAATGTAAGAAAAATCTGATAGAAAAAGAAAGAGGAGAAAAAGAAGAAAGAAAAAATTAGAAGGAAAAGAAAGAAATAAAAATAGGATTAAGAAAGAAAAGACAAAATCAAAATGAAAAATAAAGAAGGAGAAAGAAAGAAAAGAAAAAATTAGAAGTAAAGAAAGAAGTAAATATAGGAGTAAGAAAGAAAAAGAAAGAGGTAAAAAATTAGAAAGAAAGGAAGAATGAAAAAGAAAGAGAAAATAGAAGGAGTAAGAAAGAAAAGAAAAAACATTAGAAGGAAAAAGAATGAAGTCAAAAAATGGAGTAAAGAAATAAAAAGAGGGGGGAAAATTTAAAAAGAAAAAGAAATTGAGTGAAAAAAGGAGGAATAAGAAAGGAAAAATAACAAAAAATATAGTGAAAAGAATGGAGAAAGGAATGAAAAAAGAGGAAAGAGAAAAAAGAAAGAATATTAGAAAGAAAATGAAAAAGAAAGGTCTTAATAAAAGGAAAAGAAGTAAGGAAGGAAAAATAAAGAAAACAAATGAGAAGGTAAAAAGAAAAGGAATGAAAAATGAAAAAAAAAAGGAAGAAAAATGAAGTACCTTTAGAAATGAAAGAGAGAAGATAAAATTGCAGAAAAACAAAACCAGACATTAAGCAATGTCCACCAAGCGCAGGTTAGAAAAATGTCCACCAAGCGCAGGTTAGAAAGAAAGAAAAGAAAAAAATGACGATCTTTGTCAAAAGATAAAGACATTCTCTTCATCATCATCGTCTTCAAAATGGTTGTCAGTCTTCGCAACTGTCTCTTCTCTCTTATCATTCCACCTGTCTACCCTTCTGTTCATATATTGTGTCTTGAGGCTCAATCAGTAACACAATTATTCAGTCTCCATCGATTGAGGAATTGTCCAATTAATTGCTTTCTCTGCCCAACTCCCTCTACATTCTTGCAGGAGAAACAATAACCAAGCCAGACCATTTGCTGTATGCACATATTGTATTCATGGAAATTGTGGCAAGGAAATTTAACATGAAAGACGATGAAAATTTGTCTTCGGACATTATGAAGATTCATCAAAATTTACCTTTCATGCAAGTTCTGTTTACATTTTTGTCCTTTCTTTCTACATGCCATGGCCATTCAAGACTTGGGTGACCATGGCTCTCCCCAATTTACTCTCCTTTGTAGCTCTTAGTAATTTCTGCCTGAATTTGAGGACTTATCATTATTTACACTAATTATGTTCAGATAATTGTCCTCATCACAACGTTTCAGCCATCGTGCCCTCCAGCTTTCCTTAGGTGTATACCAATCTGAATAATTTACAAGGAATTCTGAACTGAATCCTTTATTTAATCTACAGGGGTAGACTATTCTCATTCCACTGCTCATGTCTAGGGATATTGTCCAGTTCTTATTTTTATTTAATACTGTTCAGAAACGGGAGATTAACAGTTCAGTTAGTGATTACCCGCTTCTGAGTGCAAGTACACAATACCCGACCCAGGGATTTAAACTCACATCCTTTATGTTAACAAATTCTCATATTAACTCTTTTATCCACCATAGGACAATTTTCTCTAGTGAACTTGGAGCTTTAAACTTAATCTGCCTGCTGATTAGGTTGCATCTGCTGCTGCTGCTGCAGTTGAAATTTATAAAATCTTTCTATTGAAATACTTTTTTTATAAGAAAACAGCTGTTATCATTCTTTCTTGTATTATTGGGTGTTTCTATCCTAATCTTTTACTTTATGTGGTGTGGAATGTTAACACCTTGATTATGCCATTAATTTCTCTTCAAGTTACATGTGATTCCATTTTAGTTGTTGCTGCCGTTGAGAGAGAGAGAGTGAGAAAGAGAGAGATATGGATTCTTGCTATCAAATTCCAAATTTTATTTATGGAACAGTGTGACAGAAAATGATGAAAAGAAATAAAATATTTACTAAGATGAGGAAGAATTTGGAATATTGTGCTGTTCCACTTTTATAATGTCAACGAATACTTATTGCCACTTTCGTAATGCTCATTTTAGTAGAGACTTTGTAATTGCAGATACAGGTATAGTAATGCCGTTGAACAATACTGATGCCTTTGAATAACACTCACACTAATAGTACTTGCTCGATAATACTCGCTCGAAAAGTAACCACTGAATAGTGATCTGAATAGTCATCGGTATATCGAAGAGAATAGCGATAGAGGATAGTGTAGAAAGAGTGATCACTTAGACGCCACACTAATTCCCATATATACATCACATGATCTACCTATTCAAAATGGGATCACTTGTGTTTTCTCTCTGGTGATCTGTGTTCAGAATCCAGTATCGGCAGTGACACTTTATTCAGTATCTGTCTATATTTCTGAGATGAGGTATTACATTTGTCCTCATCTTTGTTGCCATATTTATCACAACGTTTCAGCCCTTCAGTATCTCTATATTTCTGAGATGAGGTATTATGTACACTGTTTACATTATTTGGACTATTGTCCTTATCTTTGTCGCCATATTTATTACAACGTTTCGACCCTTCAGTATCTGTCTATATTTCTGAGATGAGGTATTATGTACACTATTTACATTATTTGGACTATTGTCCTCATCTTTGTTACCATATTTATTACAATGTTTCGGCCATTGTACACTCCAGCCTTCTTCAGGTGGTTGGAATGTTGAACTGAATCCTTTATTTCGCTCACTGGGGTAGACTGTTCTAGTTCCATGTGCCATGTTTAATGGATGTCAGTTATCAGTTATCTCCTGTTAATTTCCTTCTTCAAGTTCTCAACTGCCTTAACCGGGTATTGAAGTCACACTCTTTGGGTCCTGTCACTGGATCTAACCAACTCCATGTATCCTTGAGGAGATCTGTGTATGAATTTCTGGGTATTATAAATCTAATATCTGCAGCAACCATTTTTTACCAGAGAAAAGCAATAACAACAAAAAATTGCAATATGGGCTCTGGTAAAAGCATGCAATGATAACAGCAAAAATTGTAATATGAGCACTGGTAAAAAACGGTAAACATGGCACGTGGAACTAGAACAGTCTACCCCAGTAAGCAAAATAAAGGGTTCAGTTCGACATTCCAACCACCTGAAGAAGGCTTGAGCGTACAACAGATGAAACATTGTAATAAATATGGCAACAAAGATAAGGACAATAGTCCAAATAATGTAAATAGTGGACATTTTATTCCTATATAACATCCATCTTCCCAAGTGGAAATGATAATTAGCTGTTTCCCTATAAGGAAACATTCAACAGCCAATATTCTTTTCAGTTGAAATTTATAAATTTTTTTCTCTTAAAGCATATTTTTAAGAAAAACAGCTTTTATGGCTCTTTCCAGTATTGATGGCAGTTTCCTTCCTAGCCTTTTATTTAAAGTAGTGTGGAAGGTCAATATCTTGATTATATCATTATTTTCTCTTCAAGTCACACATGCTATTCATTTTAGTTGTTGTTGCTGTTGGTAGTCCACAAGTGATTTTGTTCTTGTTATTTGGTACAATTCTATGTTTGGGATTCTGTAGTGCAACTTCATAATGTTCAAAGAAGGATAATCTTTGCCAAGACGCCCACGCTTTACTCTCTCAAAGACTTTTTTCACTATTGATCTTAGGAAGCAGTTGTATACAGCTGAGAGTTTAGATATTTCTGAATGGGTCTGGTATCATGCTTGACATCAATATAAAAGTTTTGATTTGATGAGGGTATTTAAGAACATGGTTTGAGTACTCAGGTTGATTTTTTGGGTTTTGTAACAATTTGCAAAAAGGCAGCAGAAATTATATGTATTTCTTATTTTCTTTGCTGCTGGACCAGCAAAGCTCTATACAAATGTCTCAGGTAAATCAATAAAATCTGTCAAATATTTTACATAACAAAGAAGCCAAATAAATTCTACTGAAAAGGTGACCTTGAATAAAATGGATGTAATCTGGAAATCTGATCTACCAGACAATCTCATGTGGAGATTCTTTCAAGCCATTGTAAAGGTGGTGTTAATGTATGGTACCACTGCCTAGACATTAACTAAAACCCTAAACTTTAAGCTTAATGGAACCTACATTTGGATGCTGAGAGCTATACTTAACTTTTCTTGGCGACAACATCCAACTAAATCATGGCAACATATATTTCTGATATTTCTACAATCTTGCACCAATGCAGAATGTGCTTTTCAAGACACTGCTGGCAAGCAAAACAAGAACTTGTAAGTTATCTACTCTTCTGGACACCTAGCCATGGTGCAAGATGTGTTGGTCACCCAGTAACCACCTACATTGACGAGTTATTTTATGACACAGAATGCCACCCTAAAGGCTCAATACAAACGGTAAATCAATAAAATCTGTCAAATATTTTACATACCAAAGAAGCAAAATAAATTCTACTGAAAAGGTGACCTTGAATAAAATGGATGTAATCTGGAAATCTGATCTACCAGACAACCTTAAATGGAGATTCTTTCAAGCCATTGTAGAGGCAGTGTTAATGTATGATTCTACTGCTTAGACATAAAACTAAAACCCTAGAGTGTAAGCTTGATGGGACTTACATTTGGATGCTGAGAGCTATACTTAACTTTTCTTGAATTCAACATCCAACTAAATTGCAGCTCTATGGACCCATCCCTGATATTTCTACAATCTTATATGAACACAATCTGCTTTTCAAGACACTGCTGGCAAGTGAGTGATCTACTCTTCTGGACACCTAGCCATGGTGCAAGATGTGTTGGTCGCCTAGCAACC